GAATGCAAAGACAGACAAGGAACAGAACAAATGAAAGAGATGGAGCACAAAGCCACTGGGAGGATAATGATGAAACAACTGATAGAAAGTAGCTGAGTAGAAGAGAAGCTGGTGGAAATTTCTGAGGCAGGGACAACAAGGGGAGGAGAGGTAGGTGGAGGAAATAAGACAAAGCAAAGAGTCAAGCGAGCTAAACACGCATTTGAAGTGGCACCTGACAAGAGGGTGAATTTAGTAATATAAGAAAAAGCAGCTGGTGACAGAGGCAGAGAGAGAGAAAAGAGGGATGAAAAAGACAGATAGTGAACAAGAGAAGAGGTAGAGAGTGCATACGTGTCCAGAATGACAAGCAGAATCAGCACTTTATACACACAGACGTGCAAAAAAAAAACACACACACTGAAAAAGGCAAAGGCCTGTGCTACACAGACATACACACTGTCGCTCTCAGACAACTGTATACGATGCATGTAATACAAACAGGTAGTGCACGTTTTTACAAAGACAGAACAGTAATACTACCTATCACATGCAATGCTCCTAACAAAAAACCTAAAGTTGGCTAAATTTCTGATGGCCTTAGAGACACAGATCATGGCTACATTTTGAAGTTTCTTAAAAATCTTCATTATTACAAAGCTTTGAACAGTTTGCAGTCACTATATAATGCACAGTATCTCTTTGGTTTTAGGTTGTGAGAGAAACTTCCAATGAATCTCATGTTAGTAAACTTTAAATCTGAGTGTGCAGGGTCATTCTTGGCATTCGACATACTGTAAGATATAAATGTTAAGATATAAGTCAGTTCAAAATACTGTGTATGATTAGGTTGGACCACACATTACGGCAAATTACAGTATGTCCTTGTGTGCAGTTCTTGGAGTGCATATATAATGTGTGTTATGTGTTTGCATGTGTGTACTTCAGGGCTTGCTACAGCAGATGTCACAGGGATATTTCCAGTCGACTGAGAATGCGTAGACAATCCAGTGTAGTTGCTAGCAGTTGCAGTTTTGGACAAAACGGTACTCTGTAGACAACAACACCTAAATTAACTCTAATATATACAATACAAAACATATGGGAAACTAAATGGAAACCTTAGAAAGTGCATGCACCAAAGCTCGAATATGGAGAAATTAATTAGTGGGTCATTTTGTGAAACAGTACATACTGTACCTTAAATTGAGATTGATGCATATGATGTGAGTACATCTGCAGTTTATGAAACACCAAAAGAGTCCTAGAAGAAAAACACAAATGCCAATTATGTTTGAGTTAAGAAAATAAAAGCAATTAAAATTTTAATCGTTATTTTTAGACCTCCCAACCATTCTTATATCATAACCATATACAGTGTGTTCTGTTCGTCTCTCTATCAGTGCAGTATGTTTGCAGTGCATTAATTATATACAGTATTTGTGTGTGTGTGTCTCACTGAAAGCATTTAGGAAAGTCATCAAGATCCACCCAGGTCTCCTGTAGGATGGGTTTGACAGGAGCTGTGAGTTCCTCAAATACAGACTCCTCTGTTGCAATTTTGGGTTGATCTGGAAGAAAAGTTCAAATTCTACTCTTTAGGGTGACACATTTCCTGATTAATAATGTCTTTATAAGCATTTTTGTTCTGTTAGGCACTTGTTGTAAGGTAGGAGGTCAGCAGTATACAGCTACCTGAGAGATATATAGTATTTTATTTAATATCATTTATTATTGTTAATACAAGTCCACCACATCTCAGTGAAAGAAAGGCATGTCCTTAATAAGCTGAGTAGCATCTAAGTTGACTGGTGCTTTTCATGCTACACTTAATACCAAATGGATATTGAATTGCCTGTGAAATCTCCCATTTTAAAATGCTGTGAGTAACAAAAAGCCTGTCCTCTTATGACTCATAGAAAGTTATCCTAGACTCAAATCATTATCTTAAACACAGAGAGTCGAATGGGCCAAACTCCCACATAATGGCATAGTGTAAGCACACATGCACATCCATACTCCCACAAACTGACTCCCACTATCTCAATGCATGCAGAGCAAAGTCATAAACATATGCACACAGACACACTCTTCACCCCAAAAAACCACACACATAGTTGCTCTGCCTCTGAGCTCTACTCGAAACAAGAGTCTGATCAGACAAGTGAGGTGGCGAGGGCCAGTGCCACTGCTGCTAAGCAATGGTAGTCTGCTCGCTCAACCTACAGGTGTTACTAAGCAACTAAACGGGGGCAGAGAGAAGGCAGGGAATTGGCTGGTTGTCATAAGGTATAATTTTGATCCCATCTTCTTCAAAGTGTCTTGGCCAACCGATGGTGTCATTGAGAGAAATATGCAGAGAGTGGAGGCGAGAGATGCAAATACTTCTAATCACATTAACTGGACAATGCTGCACAGATGATGTTCAAGTCAACCACTGATGAAGACCTTCACCATGCTCAGAATTAATGAGCATCTGCTCATTCTAGTAGCTCAATATTTGATTTTGGGTAAGACAATCTTATGTACTGATACGGTACAGACTATTTTCAAATATGAATTTGGGGTTTGCAAAGGAATAGCTTTTACCACTGGAGATGTCATCATTGCCCTTCTTCCTGTCCTCTGCAGTAACCTAGAGGGACAGGAAGAGAGAGAAAAATAGAAAGAGGGTGAGGGAGGCATGAACTGTGAGTTGTGGAAAGAGTAACACTGTCAGAGATACGCCTCCACCCTCTAGTGATTCCATGCCAGCTGTGGTGTTGCGACCATTCTCACCAAACACCACAAGACAGGACAGACAGTTTAATGAGACAAGGGCTGCTCCTCCCATGCTAAAAACACCACTAGGGAATACCAGCTCTAATTTACTTTGACTGTCAGTGACAGACAAGTAGTTATCATGTTGTTTAGTATGTTATATCTCTTAAAGGGGAATTACACAACAGCTCTGATTTAATGCTCAATTGCCCAACTAAATAAACAGATATAGCTGAGTCATTGTCAAATACCATATTCGTCTCTCTGACCAAGGTCAGATATGTTACAGTATGGAAAAGAGCATTACTGCTGTTTTGATAACACAGCTGAAGTCAAGCACAAGGTGTAGTACACCCTTGTATCAGCTAGCTGAATGTACCTGCAGGCCCTTCAGTTTGACAATTCTTTCAAACAATGCCTCATTAAGAAAAGATTCTGGTGGAAGTCCAACAGTCTACTCAGCTCCACATAAGAAATATTGCTTTGTGTCATGTAGCTTCAAAGCAACCCTCACTAAGACATTGTGATGAGTCAGAGTGACTGTGTGTGTGTGTGTGTGTGTGTGTGTGTGTGTGAGTCACCACTTATTTGAATATGAAGTACCCAGAGACCCAGACAAACAGAAAGAGACATTGTGATTTGGAGACACACTTGACCTCCTCTCTGCCTCTATGACAACACATTTTTGCACCAAAAATATACATGTGGGTGTGTCTCACTGTGTTCACAGGAGTGCACAGAACTTGTTGTCAAGCTCTAAGGCACTCCAGCAACAGCACGTCATTCTATTATACTGCTTGTCTTACCTGCGTACAGTAAGAGGACACTGACATTGACAGATTTTATACAGAGGACCCCTGTGATTTTAAGCTGCTGCTTAGGAAGAAGCTATTTTAATATGATCAAAACACAGTAAAGGATCCATGGGTGGAAGAGGCCGCATTTCTTAAATCCCACACTTTATGGGGCTTTATTTTATACAGCCAGCAAAAAGTCTACAAAATATGAAATTAAATCAAGTTTTGTGCCTTCAGATAATAATTCACAGGTACAAGGAAAACCACTGATCTCAGAGCCCACACTGGACTTTGGGAAGGGTAGTTCTCTAAACTGAAACCAAGGAGGGGCTTTGATGGATTAACTGCATTCCAAGCATATCAAAGGTTAAAACAGCACACTTACACTAAGATCTAAGGCTTTAACCCAGCACTAAAGTTGAGTGAGTAGGCCACTGAGGGTATTAGGGACATCATGTGACATTGCTCCTATTCTAGGAGCTAAGCACAGAGGCTGATTCAAGGCTAACAAAAAGAATGAAAGACCAAAGGGGCTAAAACATCTTATTTGATATACAGTCCCCATACCACGTGATCCATGTGGGAACACGTGCTCAGTATAAAAGTGGCACACAAATGATACATGTGGGCACACACGCACACACATCAAACACATTAAAAGTGTCCAGAGGCCTAACCGCTCTATAACTGGTCACAGTTACACAAGAGGGTGATTAATATGAACTCTATTTTTTCTCTGTATGCTAGGAGTGAAGTGCAATAATGAACCCCCCAGGAGACAGAAGACACTGATGGTACACCATCTAATTGCACTGCTTTTTTCATCAACACAGTACATGACCTCTCCCTTTATGAAACCCATGCAACCCGTTCACCAGCACCACACGTTTTCCTGACTCCCTGACCAACTGTCACTTTCTTTCCACTTTTCAGTTCCCCTCCTTTCTTATCTGGCACAATTGTCCCCCCCCCCCTTTTATTAGTCTCTATCATTGTTTCTAGCCTCATCTCGTGTCTCTTCGCTGCTGTTCTAAAGCCCACTCCCCCTCATCTCACTTCCCTTGCTGGTCATCTCTTTAGTGCAGATGCACCCCTGGCCAGTAGTGGCCTGGCTAGGAGACAGCAGAAGTGACTTTGAGACTAAGGGATGGCAGCCTTGATGTCACTGACACAGAGCTACTGTGATGAGCCTTCAACTGCATACTTACAGGGCAGACAGAGTCAAAAGGGAGCAGGGAGTAAAAAATGAAGTGAGTAAATAACAAGAAAACATCTCAGCTGTCTGCAACATCAGAAAGCTGATACTATCTTAGTTGTGGACAAATAGCGTCACCCTTGGCTTCAAAAACCCTTGTGACTATACAAATTAATGGCTTGGGCAAACAACAGCTCTGTAAAATGTTTAATTAGCATTGTGTCTCAGGAGACAGTAATTCCATGTACCTCTATTTTGTCAGTGCTGTTTGGTGAGATAGTGGTGCGACAACAGACTCAAGGCCTGCTCGCCGTTCAGTCCCCTCACTCTCAACAATGGAAACCAGAGGGTAGGAATGCTTCACCTGAGGGCTCTGCTCGGCCTCTCTGACACACAGAGACACATATTCATGTTATGTGCACATACAGTCATCATCATGACATTTATATATCTAATTTCATGGTAACATATTCAGAGGAAATGAGTCATATACAGTGGGTACGGAAAGTATTCAGACCCCCTTAAATTTTTCACTCTTTGTTATATTGCAGCCATATGCTAAAATCATTTAAGTTCATTTTTTTCCTCATTAATGTACACACAGCACCCCATATTGACAGAAAAACACA